GGGATGGAAGAACAGTTTGTCTTTTTTTTTTTTTTTTTGAGAGGTTTTTTCCATAGGGCGCGTGCGCTCGCCCGAAAGACAGAGAGAGACAGAGAGATAGAAAGCGAGAAATCACCCCCCAGGGGGGATGGCCACACTGCAATTCCTTCTCCTCCATTCTCCTCTCGGGATCTTGGGCACACCCGCACACATGCCTGGTGTGAGTTTAAGCCACCGGGTCCAGGACTCGAACTGCAGCCGACTACATGGGTGTCCAGTGACATACCTATTACTCCAACTGACCCCAAGGATGACAATTTTAACATTAAGACCTTGCAAAGAGAGTGTTCAGAGAGTCTCTGAGTTATCATCAGATCAGATCCTCACGTTCACTGGACAAGCGCTCATTGAAATCCTACTATGAGGGACCAGCAGTTAGCGTAATGGCTATGTCGCTGGACTCCCACGTAGTCGACCAATTTTAACATTAAGACCTTGCAAAGAGAGTGTTCAGAGAGTCTCTGAGTTATCATCAGATCAGATCCTCACGTTCACTGGACAAGCGCTCATTGAAATCCTACTATGAGACAGGCATTGGGTGCTGCAGAAACAAAGATGATGTAACGGGCAGCATCGTTGCCCACGCTGACTTCACATGCAGTGAAGGCAGATAAAAATTAATCGGTGGGCCAGCAGGTGGCGTGTTGGTTCAGGTGCTGAACTCACACATGCCGGGCTGATTCAAGTCCTTCACCTGGTGCTCACTTTCTCATTTTCCCTCTCTCTCTGTCTCTGGTGAGCACACATGCTCTATAGAAAATAGAAAAGAATAATAATAAATAAAATTATATAATTCTTAAAAAAATTAATCAGTAAAAATAAGTGCATAATTAAAACTGTAAGGAAGGTTTGGAAGGAAAGAGATACAGAGCATATATGAGCACGTGTCATGGTGCGCTCACCTAGTTGAGGGGTTCAGAAGAAGCTCCAAGGAAGTAATGCTTTGTTGAGGTCTTGGGGTCAGCAGGTATCCCCAAGGTCAAAGGAGCAGGAGTGGCTGAGTGAGGGAAAGGAGGGCAAACTGGGTTGGCGTCTGCCATGTTTCCCACAGTCACGGGCAGTGTACGCAGGATGTACTGATTTCTAGGATTTTAGCTGCTGATTCTGACCTGGTCTCCATTATTGTTATGGGCTATTGATAATTCACAGCTGTCCAGCTACATCACACACGTTAAATGTCAAAACAATGTCCTTTGTGCTAAGTGGTTTACCCTAGAAGTACTGGCCGTGCTCAGAGAAGACCCAGTTATTCCATATTCCCTGGGGGGTGTTTTATCTGTGGACTCAACTGGGCAGCCACAGCAGAACCCTATGAGAAGCCCGAGGGTCCTCCCAGACATGCCCAGAATGTTGGCAGGGGGATAATCTCACTACAACTTGGGAGAGTTCTGATAATATGTTGGATGTTTCCTTAGGCAAGGAGAAGTGAAGCAAGAGGAAACTTTTGAAAAATACCGACTGGGACCAGCAGGTGGCATAATGATTACATCACTGGACTCCCACATAGTTGATAGTAGTTCGAATCCCAGATCCAGCAGCTTAAACTCATGTTGAGTGCGTGTGGGTATGTGCCCAAGCTCCCAAGAGGAGAATGAAGGAGAAGGGATCGTGGTGTCTCCATCCCCGCTGGGGGGGGTGACTTCTTATTTTCTGTCTCTCTGGCAAGCACATGTCCTATAGCAAAAACTTCTAAAAAAAAAAAAGAAAGAAAGAAAGAAAGAAAGAAAGAAAGAAAGAAAGAAAGAAAAGAAAAGAAAAGAAAATGTACCAAACTCTTATGAGTGGTTAATGTGGTTGAACACACTGCCTCTGGGTCACACAGTCTAGGCAGAAGCCTGGCTTGGTCACTCAGTGACTGTGTGTCCTTGAGCAAGTACTGAACTTCTCTGTGCCTTGACCTTTTCGTCCATGTGATGACAGTGCGTTTGTCATAAGGTGTACGTGAAACACTTTGGCACACAAAGAACACCCAGCAGATGTCAGTTAGCTTTTATTATTATTACTGTTACTGCTACTTTCTCTGACATTTAAACAACTACACATTTTTCTTCTTAAATATGTATCTGTGCATTTTTATTTATAACAGTCATTGCTTTATAACCACTGTAACCAAAATGATAAAAAACAACACTTTTTTCTTTATGGTGATGGTGTCACAAATGTGTACTTAGTTTTAAACTCATCACAACATACTAGGGGACTCCATGAAGTTTGTGGCAAAATGGAAAAAAATGTTAAGTAATTTCAGTGAAAAAGTTTTGAAATACACTTAGTATTTTATAATATGTATTTCCATGGACTTCACGAACATCCCTCATATACCTTAAATATATACACCACTTTGTATGGCAGGCTTACCTAATTAAAAACAAAGCTTTTACTTCAGCTGTAGTCCGTCTTTTTGTTAAGAGTTCTGTAATTCCTTTTCCATCCAGCAGGGGGCGCAAGTCAACTGCCTACAAGTCGCTATAATCCAGTTTATGAATATGACGAGGATGAATGAGTGCATTCAGATTATACAGTGATTTATGACTGGCATCGATATTTAGAATTTGCTACTTGTAAACATGAAATGCTTCCCTTTTTAATCTTATTGAAGTGGATAGAAGACCTAGCAGAGAATCATCATGAGCACCGTCATCAATCCGTACCTGGTGGCTCACAGCAGGTAGTTATTATCTAGAGCGCTTTGCATATTTAGCTCTTTTAATATCCATTTCAACACTTTGAGGAAAGCACAATCCATTCTATTGATGAGGAAACCCAAGCACAGAGAAGTTGAGTAACTTTGAGTTACATCTGCTTTGAGAACACACCTGATAGAATCAGGTTCCACTGCCTGAATCGTGGGTCAGGTTCCCTGGAGTTGGAACCGGGCCAGGGCAGCGCGGCCTCTTCCAGAGAATCGAAACAGCTGCCTTCCTTGATTCACACCAGTATCGATGAGCTCTTCTCAACCTTACTGGAGATGGCTTCACTGGAACAAGAAGTTACACCTCGCTCCAAAGTATTCAGAGGTATTAAGACACCCGGAAACTTTTTTTTTTTTCCTGAAAGCACTTTGTTTATGATCGGTTTTTTAATTTTTTAATTTTTAGGGTTTTGCCATTAAGCATAGAGCATGTACACACAACAGGAGAGACAGGGAGAGGGAGAGGGAGAAATCACCCCCCAGGGGGATGGCCATGCTGCAATCCTGCCTCTTCCCTTCTCCTCTCAGGATTTTGGGTACCCGCACACAAGCACCTGTTATGTTTTTCAAGCTGCCCTATCTGGGACTTGAACACACCACCTCCTGGCCCCATCAATTCTTTATTTGATTTGTAAGAATGTTAATTAAACAACTATTTTCATTACTTTTGAAAACACAAGATCGTGAAATTACGAGAACGTACATATCACAAGCTTCTTGAAACCATCTATGGCATGTGAAGTTTCCTTTTGGAGAAAACTCCCCTCTGTTACTCTCTGAAAGTGAAAATCCTTGTCTCTAATGAAAATATGTGAACTTGGTTTATGTAAAACTTCGTGTGTGGGTAAAATGAAACCTAGGAAAATTAATTCCTGTGGTGTCAGACACGGGTTTTCTCTGTATTTACTTGTCCTTCAAACTGCCAGGGAACAGCCTAAGGCAAAGCATTGCCGAATAGGATCTGGCTTCTGCGCAGGATCCCAAGAACCTCATTTTAGACACTGTAGTGTTCCCACTTCTTTTCTAATGAATGGGACACCGGGGAGACCGTGAGGGAATTCCTTGGAGGCGCAGGGTGAGGAGTGCCTCTCCTTCACTTGGTGATTTGCCCAAGGCCTTGGTGGTGCCTGACACTGAGAACCGGTTTCTCCTCGCGCCACTCCTAGCAGCGCCATCCCCTCCCTGCCACACCCGTGGAGTCTGGACAGTGACGAGCTGGCCCAGGACACTGAGACGGGGGTTGGGGGTTGGGGGGCGTGCGGGGGACACTGCAGAGGCTGCCGCGTGCTGACTTCATTTTTATTTGCAGAAACAAAATTAGTAACTGAAGAGCAAAGCGGGGTTTCCACGGGTAGAGATCAGCGCGGCAGGGGCCACGCCAGTTACCCGAAGCCGGGTGAGGCAAGCGTTTTGAAACTCAGGGTGTCACACATCGAACGCACTGAGCTCCCCTTGGGCTCCAACACCAGGGACACACGGGGACGCCAGCCAGAGCCTGGTCTGAGAGCTCGCAGCGCGGCGCGAGAGTCAGCCTGTCAACAGAGGAGGGGACGAAGGGGCAGGGTCCAAGGTGCGGAGGCGGGCCCAGGCGGAAGTGACCGTGTGCGGGGTCGGGGCGGCGTCCAAGCGGGTTCCCTGTGTGCCCCGCATGCTGGAAACTCACCCCGGGGTGTCGAGGGTCGCCCCATGACCCCACCCGGGGTGTAGGTACCGAGCTGGTGAATGCGCACGAGCGTGCAGACGTGGAGCCCCAGGCTCCGGGGCCGGGACAGGGCAGGTGACCGGAGCCTGGGCCCTGGCCGCGCCGCCGCCCCGGGCAGCGCGCGGCCCCCTCAGCCTGGGGAAGGCGTCCTCTGGGAGCCGCCTCCTGGCGGCCTCTTCCCTTTTGTCCCAGCGCCCGCGCTCGCGGGCCACTCTTTGCCTCCCCGCTGCCCCACGCGCTCCTGAGCTCCGCGCCGCGACCGTCAACATGCTGCGCTGCGGCCTGGCCTGCGAGCGCTGCAGGTGGATCCTGCCCCTGCTCCTGCTCAGCGCCATCGCCTTCGACATCATCGCGCTGGCCGGCCGCGGCTGGCTGCAGTCGAGTGACCACATCCAGACGTCCTCGCTGTGGTGGAGATGCTTCCACGAAGGCGGTGGCAGCGGGTCCTACGACGATGGCTGTCAGAGCCTCATGGAGTATGGTGAGTGCCTGCCTCCGCCTCCAGGAAGCCCTCGGGGCCGCGGCCTGCGGAAGCCGCGGCGCGTGAACTATCAGGGATAGTGGGTGCGGGCTCACTCATCCGACCGGAACTAGATGAAACAGCAGGAGCTTCGCGCGACCCAAAGCTGGGAGTCAGTCTTAAAACCTGAAGAAAGTGGCCCAAAACACTGATAGTTAAAACTATCAATATGTCCCCTCCCACCTCAGGGAGTCATCGGTTTTGTGCTCAAGATGACCTCAGCCATTTGTGAAGGCTTGAATGAGTAAATACAGCAAGCAGAGTACATTTTCTTGGAGGTCTATGGGAGTCTTCCATTTCCCTTCCTCCTCTTCTGCTGCTTTATGTTTTTAAAGTATTAAAATAACTAGCTTTTCTCAATACTGGTGGATTCCTTTATGTTGTTCGAAGTGAAAGAAACTTTTCCCATTAAAAAAGCCCTTTCAGGCAAAGCTTTAGCAATTACGATTTCAGTAGATACTTTACTATTTTTCTCGTCAGGCGTCAGGCTCGTTCGTGTTCATTCTTGCCCTAGGGAGTGCCCTTTTGGCTTAAGTATGGCATTGCTGTTTAGAACATTTATTTAAATGTTCAAAATCTACAAAGCAAACACATCTCCACCACTGACGTGAAGTGGGAGCTGACGAATTTAATACATCGCAGATAGAAAATTCTTTGTCAGGCATGGAGGGAGCCTGGATTTCTGACTTGTGAACCAGACAGGACAGGGGAGGAGTCGTTCTTGTCTGAGTTTATTCCTCTCCGGGTGGGGGCCGCCTCCCCTTGCTAGGGGTAGATAAGAGTAGCAGCTGGAGTCTGCTGTGGTCAGCAAGGTGGGTGGGCGTGGGGGTGGGGCGGGTGAGCCTCATCAAAAGCTTAGTGCCAATTAGGGCTTACCAATTGAGTTTAATGGTTGTAAAGGGGGAAAGCTACCCTGTTTTTTGTTTTGTTTTGTTTTGGTTTTGTTTGCTTGTTTGTTTTTTAAATCCCTGCTAATACTGTTGACTAGATTCTTTCCTTGAGAAAGAAATCAAGGGCTTCCGACCAAATCCTGTTTACTTGTAGTCCTGGGGACCGTATCAGCAACTTGTGGAATCCCTTGGAAGTTCCCAGGATGAAAAATCCACTGGAAGGAGGCCCAGTCCTCATTAGGCAGGTATATATAAAATAAATGCAAAGACGGCAGGGAATTCCTGCTTTCCTTAAAATACCTGCTTTTCTTCTCCGAAAATAGATCTATACACCTGCCTGCCAAGGTTTGCATGATCTCAAGTCTTTGTAAAGGGAATGAATTCCTTTGAAATAATGTATCTTCTGGTTAACGAGCATTTGTGATTAGTCTCTTGTAGGGGGCCTCACAGGTCTGCTCGGGTGAGACTGGTCATTATATCCTACTCCAAAGATGAATAGAGTCTCCGAGAACACTCAGTCCCCCTCCACTGGGTGAAATAAGGCGGCCAGTGCGTCTTGGGTGGAAGCAGGCTGCTGGTGGGCTCCATGCCGTGCCGGGACACGATTTGGTCTGCAGGGTGCTTGCAGATCCACAGCCCTCTTGTGAAAGACGCACAATGTCGTTTTAAATTTTCTTGATGAGTCTCACCTTCCTAGGGTGTGGCTCTTCCAACGTCAGACCATACGATGCCTTGTGTGGAGAAGGGAGCAAGCAGGTTTTGTTCATTCCTTTGTTTGACTTTGAGAATTAGAAATCTAGAACATTGACTTTTTCCATTGCAAAGGAAACAGCGGTCCAGTGTGTAGTGATGGTTCAATGTGATACAGACATTGGTCTTTGGACAAGTTCCGTTTTCCAAGTGGAGCGAACAATCTGTTCGACCTTTCTGATGCCGTAGAAATGGTTTTCATCAATGGGTGGGACTTCGACATCTCGATTTAGTTATTTCTGTTACCTTTGTGAAGATACTTAAGTGTCAGTAATGGCGTTAGAGATGGCTGTGGCCCAAAGCCTACAATCCAATCGTGAGGCCGGGATCTACCGTCAAGGGGCGGCCATTGGGAGACAACAGACAGGCTGCCAGAACGGGAGACCCACCTCTGGCCACTTCATCAGAGATGACTTTCTGAGATTATTACAATTCTGCCCCATCTTCTGCATGGATTCGTGGCTAGTTTTGCCTCACACGTGTAAAAATGATGTATTTCTACACTGTAGGGAGTTTATCTAGGCATCTGAAATCCACAGATTTTCAGATAGTCTCACTGTGGCTTTGTTAAGAACAATACATTTACATGAGGGTGTATATTACGTAGAATGCAGTAAGCGGTTTAACACATCCTTGCAAATGTCTAAGTACGCAGTGTCTTGTAACGGAGTATGGCTGATGGCTCTCATGAAAATGTCTCAAAATAGAGAACTGACTGCACATTCAGGTTTATTTTTTTTTTTTTTTTTTTTTTTGGTGGGGGAGAGGTTTTTGCTATAGGGCATGTGTGCTGACCAGAAAGACAGAGAGAGACAGAAAGATAGAAAGTGAGAAATTACCCCCCAGGGGGGATGGCCACGCCACA